GCCCCCTTCTGGGGCTTTCTGGCCCCCGCGGGAGCGGCGCGCTGGCGCGCCGCGCCCTTGCCCTGTTCTAGCGCCCACACGGGAACGCTCTCCCGTTTTAATGCGTGTGTAATCCCAACTGACTTTCTGACCTGAAAAAGAAACTTAAAAAAAAAAAAAAAGAAGAAAAAGGAACGGGGAGAAAAAGGAAGGAAAAAAAAAAAGAAGAGGCACTAAAGACACCCCGCTCCCCCCACCCCCCCGCCCCGGCTAGAACTGAAGGAAGAACACTCCCTTTTGGGGGGTGTGCCTTGGGGATGGGTTTCTGCCACCCCTGAGCAAGTTACTTCACTCCTCTGTGCCTCAGTTTCCTCATCTCTAAAAAGGGATGACAACTGGAACCATCTCAGGGAGCTGACAGCGCTGAAAGAGTGATAAGCAGAGGTGCTTGGCGCTCAGCAATGTTGGTAAAATAACTGGCTGTTACCGTCACACACTCCTCTGTTAGGGCACCAGGCTCCAGAATCTTCTACCAGTTAAAGCAGCATGATCCAAAGAGGGCAAAAGTGTGGCATGAGCTGCCTGTGCCCTGAGGCCTGGGAAATGCCTGAGAACAACTAGGGTGAGCAGAAAGTACATGCAGAAAAGGAACCTGTCAAGGAAAACAGAACCCTCAGCTATTGTACCCTAAAAGGCTGGCTCTTTACAGAGCCTAGAATGAGGGGACCAGAAATCCAGAAAGTATTGGTGAGTGCTATTTAGGAAGGGAAGTGATAATTGAGATAACCAGAGAAAAGGCCTCTATCAAGGGGCGTGCCCAATCTCTGAGGCTTGTCTACAAACTGGATAAAAGAACCCTCCAACCCTACTATTCACTACCTCTTTGGTTTTTCTCGAAATTCCACACTTAGAAACTAATTTAGTGTCCTTGAGAAAAAACTGCTCCATCTTTAGAAAGACCTATCCCAAAGACCCTTCTCTACTGCAAAATGAATATAATGACCTTCTAGTATATCCACCAGTCTGTGAGTCCAGTTAACAGGACTTGGTTCTCGAGGCCAGATACCTGTCAGCACATGGCTGAACAGTTTCAAGACCCACAAAGCTGAAGACCAGACAGACCGTGGACCCTGCATGGCAGCCACCAGAGGCCCTACCTAAGCAGCCAGCCAGTCTCATTCATGGCCATCTATCTGCTTTCCTCACCCAAGGAAAGCCTCTCCTTGCTCCTTCCTTCCAAAGACTGCAGAAGAAACAGGAAGACACTGGGGGGACAGGGTCAGGGGGAATTCTCCTGCTGCCCCCTACTCCTCAAGATGAGAATTACAGGGGAGATAAGTGTGCATCTAACCTAATGGAGGTACAGCATGTTTGTGATGACTAAAAGCAACACATCATTTAACTGCAATGCAAGAATGTCTCATGGGACTTTTTTTAAAAAACATCTTTAGGATTTTCTATAAAGAAGAGGTGATGGAAAAGGTAGATTCGATGTTTTAATACCTACATAATGGATATGGCTGTTTTATTCCCTCCTGAGTCGAATGGGGGGAACAGCCCCTGAGACATAACAGGTTTCTGTACATCATTACAGAGGGGATGAATACCTGGATCAGCCCCTTCTTTTTAGATCATCACGTACATCCTCTACTTTCCCAATCGTTACCTACATTCCCTACTCTGATATAAATGCTTTTTGGAATAAGGCAGGCTATAAATAAATGCATAATTAAGTAACAATAACAATAATCATGTTTCTAGGGGCGCCTGGGTGGCTCAGTCGTTAAGCGTCTGCCTTCGGCTCAGGTCGTGATCCCAGGGTCCTGGGATCGAGCCCCGCATCGGGCTCGCTGCTCGGCGGGGAGCCTGCTTCTCCCTCTCCCACTGCCCCTGCTTGTGTTCCCTCTCTCGCTGTCTCTCTCTCTCTAATAAATAAAATCTTAAAAAAATAATAATCATGTTTCTATTTTGTTGACCGCAAATTAGTTTGTTCTCGCTCATTTACCAATTAGCTATATGATTTTTGGGCAAGTAATTAACCTATGCTCTTCCATTTCCTCCTATGTAAATCAGGGAAATAGTCTGCCTGATCTTCTTCATTGGGTTAGAGAACTGAATGTGGGAATAAATCTAATAGGACTTGGAAAAGGGAAAAAAAAAAAACCCACAAAACCCCAAACCTTCCAGATATATAAGGTGTGATTCTCTGCAGAATCAGGCCAATAAGCTAGTAGGGTTCCATCATAAGCTAGCAGTGACCACATCGTTCTTTCTCTACATATAACCCACACAAATTCCAAAACAAACTGCCCTTGGTGGAGGGCACAAAGAAAGACATGAGCTTCGAAGTGTGATATTCCCATAAAAGTGAACATCATCGTGACCATCACCTTCTCAGTGCAAACCTTATGAATGCTTACTATGGAACTGCTCTGAGGCCTGACACATGCTAACTCACCTTGTCCTCATAACCTTTAAGGGGAGCACTCTTTCACAGACGAGGAAGATGAGGCACGTAACATGCCCACGGCCACTTGGTGACAGGTGGTAGAGCCAGCAATTGGATTGAGTGCGGGCAGCCTGGCTCAGAGCTGGGCTCTGCCACCACGCCAGCCACGGATGGTTCAGAATCGTAGTGAAGAGAAAGGGCCCTCCGAGGGGACCTGGCCTATCCTCCACTTTTAATCAGGTAAGATACTTCTGTCCATTGGACAGAGGAGGGAGCAGAGTCCCAGAGGAGTTAAGTACCTTGACAAAGCAGAGTGGCAGAGAAAAGTCTGCCCCTGATGAACCCGGTGAGGATGTTACCTTTAACCTGCACTGTATCCTCATAGTTGCCCTGGACGGTGGCGTCGGTGCTGGGGGTTGAACATTTGTAGTGGCCCTCGTCTGAGGGCTGGACATTCTTGATGTGGAGCTCCACAGCATCATTGGCGGTCCTCCTCAACACGATCTCGCCCCTCTGCAGGCGTTCGCGGTACAGCTGGGCTGCGAAGCCCGCCTCCCAGGTACTGGCCAGCTCCACGAAGCTGCTCCCCGAAGACGAGAAGCTCCAGTCAAAGTTCTGCTCGCTGGGGCCGTCATAGTCACTGACGTTGCAGGGGATGACCAGCTCAGTGCCCACCACCCGCACCAGGCTCCCTGTGGGGACTCTCACCACGCGCCCTCGACAAAGAGCTGCAATGACAAGAGATGAGAGGCGGGACTTGAGTCACAGAAGGTCATCCCAGTATAAATGTGTCAAACCCATGGGTGCTCCTGCTCACGGGCTCGTGGCAAAAAAAATGTGACATCTGGCCACCTGGGAAAATGGTGTGCTTCCTGGGGTGAGCAGAAAGAGGTTAAGCCTATCCCTAGAACTGGGAGCCAGGAATATGACCCTGAAATGAGTGCCTCTCCCACAACAGTTTCCTAGGATTGACAGGGAAGAAGACAAGTATTAAAAGTAGGCTAACCATAAACCTGAATAGCTTCTTCCCTCCCGTTACTATTTAACATACCATTGTCACTCAATGTGATGTAGAAGTATTTTAGGGGTGGTGTGAAAGAAAAGGACACAGCTAATCAAGTATTTACATTTCTGCCCACCCTAGATCAACCCTCATCCCTAGAGACCATTCCCCAGGGCTCCTGAGACCTGATTTACAATGATCGATGCCAATTTTTAAACCCTAGAGCGGCCTGCTGATAAAAAGATTTAACTCTGGTTATCTGACATTGCCTATAAATTAATATTAAAATATGACGACTCCACCAAGTATTAATTTTCTATTTTCTGGCTCATTTCCTTCTCTCTGCTCTTCACCCTGATCTAAATTCAGAATGAGGATAGGGAAGCACAAAGGGAGACCGTGCCTTGTCTCACTGGTTGCTGGGCGTTGTTAGGAATGCAGCAGCTTGCTGGGGAAGAGTTCAGTGGATAAAGCCAAGAGTTTACTGGCACTCCCTGCCCCAAGAGCACACACCTCCCAGGCCTCTGATAGGGCTCTAGGGACCCTCACCTGTGTGTCCTTTAAGGGGTCACCTTTGCCATGAACTTCAGTGCGATTTTGTACTGCATTTATTACCTGTGCATAGCATTTCAATTTGGACCAAGTGAACTTGTCTGGCTCCTGCTTGATGTTCTAGGAACAGGTACAGCACTAAGGCAAACAAGGGAAAGCATGGGCTCTGAAATCCAGGAGACCCAAGTTTGTTTATTTTCTTAAGTCAAAAATTCCTTTTATTTTATATTTGAGTGACATAACACAAAACAGAACACCCGCATTCCACACATATTCCCCGTACTGGGATGAGGGCACATTCACTAAGTTTCTCTAAATTAACTTCTTCTTCAATATTAACATCAGGTATAGCTATGTCAAAAGAAACATCACTCAGGGCGCCTGGGTGGCTCCGTCGGTTGAGCATCTGACTCTTGATTTCAGCTCAGATTATGGTCTCAGGGTTGTGAGATCCAGCTAACATCGGGCTCTGTGCTCAGCTGGAGTCAGCTGGAGATTCTCTCTCTCCCTCTTCCTATGCCCCTCTCCCCGTGCTTGCACTCTCTCTCAAGATAAATAAATAAATCTTCTTAAAAAAATTTTTAAAGATTTTTAAAAATTTTATTTATTTGAGAGATAGGGAGAGGGAGCACGAGCAGGGGGAGGGGCAGAGGGGGAAGCAGACTCCATGCTGACCAGGGAGCCTGATGTGAGGCTCAATCCCCAACCCTGGGATCGTGACCTGAGCCGAAGTCAGACCCTTAACCGAATGAGCCACCCAGGCACCCCCAAAAATAAATAAATAAATCTTTAAAAAAAAATTTCAAGGGGCTCCTGGGTGGCTCAGTTGGTTGAGCATCTGACTTGATTTTGGCTCAGGTCACAATCTCAGGGAGCCCTGCCTTGGCTCTGCACTCAGCACAGAGTCTGCTTGAGATTCTCTTTCTCTCCCTCTGCCCCTTCCCCTGCTCGAGCTCTCTCTCTCTCTCAAATAAAATCTTTTTTCAAAAACTGTAAGAATTTTGAAAAAATACTCACTGTTTAAAAAACTGAACAAAATCAACACTATGCTAACAATTATAGTGAAAGGAAAAGAAAGCATGAAGTTGTTAGAACGACTGGGAAGAGCTCATTCCTGATACAAAGAGATTATATTTTTATAAGGGAATCAGTTATGTTTTACACAGAAATCACACATAAAATTGAGTAATTTCCCCAAAAAGTTTAGTTGCAAGAGCAACTACCACACCAGATTTACCCTCACGGATATACTCTGAAGGAGACCTAAGTTTAAATCTGAGAGAGTGACCTCTGTCAGCTTTGGCTTCTTCAACTATCATATGGGGCAAGAAAGATTTACTGAGTTCATGAAATAAAATGCCTGGCTGAGAGTCTGCCATGTAATAAGAGCTCAATCACATAGGAACTTATGTCTTTTTGATTTTGTATTTTTATCATTTGTTACAGGTTGAGTTCCGTTCCCCCCCAACAAAACTCATACGGTGGAGTCCTAGCCCCCAGTACCTCAACATGTGACCTACCTTGGGAACGGGGTCACTGCAGACGTGATCCGTGGTTATTAGACACCATTGGGTGAGGTCATACGAGAACAGGGTGGGACCCTAATCCAATGACTGGTATCCTTAAAAAGGGGGAAGCCCACATGCACACAGACATGCATACGGGGAGAACACCATGAGAAGATGAAGGCAGGGATGGAGGTGAAGTCTCTACAAGCCAAGGAACATCAAAGATGGCCCACAAACCACCAGGAGCTGGCGGGGAGGCCTGAAACAGACTCCCCCTCACCTTCTGAAGGAAGTGACCCCGCCGACAAGTAGCCGCTCAGCCCCGGAACTGTGAGAGAGCATGCTTCTGCTGGTTACGCCACCCAGTCAGTGGGTCTTTGTTGCAGCGGCCCGAGCAAACTAATATTCCATTGTTGCTTGTTTTTCAATGATTTAATTCATGTTTTTCAAAGTCTGAGTTGCCATTTAGTGGTTGTGAAATGAATTTATAGTGGTTGTGACCAGCATGTGTGTGTGTCTTAATACAATGAAACAGAAGAGGAAATATTAGAGTCCACTGCATTTAGTAAGGAGTAAATACTGTTTCAGTACATTTTACGTACACAAAGGTGTGTGTGTACCAGAATACGATGAAAACATTTAATTTGTGTTGGAGTAAAAAGGAAAAAAAAAGTTGCACACTTTTTAAAAGCCATCTCTGGTTTTCACCACCCATTATCATTTCCCTTGAAAAGGGAAAGCATCCACAGGAGAGAAATGGTGGTAAGGTTAGTGTGTGCTCTGAGCAGGGGGCTGTGTGCCAGCCTGGCTGGGGGGCAGGTCCAGACTGCTGCCCAGTTCGAAGAAAAGATGCTGCGCCCAAAAGCACTCCCCTTAAAAACAGAGTTGCAACTCAGGCCTATGGGTCACATCTCTTCCTGCAGACAACAGAACCAACCTCAAATATTCTTTTTTTTTTTTTTTTAAGATTTTATTTATTTTTATTTGTTAGAGAGAGAGAGCGCACACACACGCGAGAGAGTGAGCAAGAGCACAAGCAGGGGGAGCGGCAGGCAGAGGGAGAAGCAGGCTCCCCGCTGAGCAGGGAGCCCGACGTGGGACTCGATCCCAGGACCCTGGGATCATGACCTGAGCTGAAGGCAGCCACTTAACCGACTAAGCCACGCAGGCGTCCCCCAACCCCAAATATTCTTCTGCAGTAGGGCTGAAACATGCTGCTACCTTCTTCCTGAGGCAACTTGGTGCTCATAGGATGACAACGCCGATGAGCTCACACCTACTAATTCTGACAAACCGCAGCATATCTGTGCCTGTGGCCCAGTGTTCCTCAACTGCTCCTCAGATGGGGTTGACCCTAAATGACCCAGCCCCAGGGATGGACACTGGCTGAAATCAGGTCAGTCAGGATCCTCCTGGCTCATTTTTGCTGAAGCTACTCAGAAATTTTCACTTCCTCTGGAATCAGAGTACTATAAAGATGATTTGTGGAAAAAAAGAATCCAAGGTGGTTGTGTAGGAAGGTCCTGAACTCACCTCCTGACACATGAAATCAACAGCTACACAGGGATCCTTTCCCTCTGGAAAAAATTTGAAAACTAGATGAACTGCTCTCCACAACAAAAGATAATAGGACTTCACTGAAATGGGTGAGGCAGGGACACGGTCTGGCCAAAACACGCCCCCCCCAACCCCGCCCTGCAGTGACCCCGCCAGAGGGAAGGATCTCACCAGACAGGCACTTCTCCTGGAGGAGTGAGGGGTCACAGTGCCTCACATCAGGCACTCCAACCCTTGGGGATCTGCATCAGAGAGACGAGCTCCCAAAAACTTCTGGCTGCCATCCAAGGAACCCAAAATGCCATAGGAAACCAATATCCTCCTTTTAAAGGGATCACCTGCAGTCTCACTTGCCCCAGAATCTGGCGGAAAAAGCACCAATTTCAAAAGCACCTGGACTGTATGTAAAGGAGGTTCATTTGCGGGCCTGGGGGCATCTGATGGAGGGGCAGGGGGCAGCCCGGGCTCTCTCCAGGGATGGAGGCACTGGTGGACACTGTTTGTAGCTCTCTGCCTACCCTGCTAGCGCAGACTGGGTGCTTGGGCACACACCCTCCGACTGCCTCACCGGGTCGGACGGGGTGGGGAACGGTTATGCCGCTGTCCTGCCGCCTTGCTGAGGCTGGAGATCCTGTGCGGCTGCAGGAATTCCCGGCTTCCTGGCAGGGGCAAGCGAGCATGAACAATCACAGCATTCTCTCCCTCCCGTGCTAAAGTCCATGAGCGCAGGTCGCACTTGTGACACGCCCCCACCCCCTGGCTGGGGCTGGTGAGCACCAGTGGTCATGGCACTCCCCCCTCCCCAACTTGGGACAATACATGCACGCAGACAGGGCCCACTCCGGCTGCACTGCTAAACCCCGGAGGCATGCACAGTGAGGGCATTTTCCCACTGCCTTTCCGAAGCTGGTGAGTGTGCCTCACCCCTACAAGCCCCCGTTGCCCTGCTAAGGTCAGCAGCCACACAGAAACCATGCAGGAGACAGCCCTTCTTTGCCTGGCCCTGGTGGCCAAGGGGGCTGGTGTTCCTGAGCTCCAAGGGACTCTAATAATCAGAAAGACAGTTCTTGGCAGGCCAACACCCGCAGGGCACTGCACAGACAGCAGA